GGGGGGGCTCTGCTATCCCGGTAAGAACATTGTTTGCGGCAGCTGACAGTGATGCTGCCGCTGGTGGTGGTGGTGGTGTCACCTGCTTCGGTTGGGAATGAGGATGAGAAAAAGCAGAGGAGGCCTAGAACATCAGTGACGATGATGATGGTGATGATTATAATAACTCAGAAATTCCTTGTTTACAAAAACTTCGAAGACGAGCTACAGGCTAATTAGCTACCACCGCTTCTATACATCGGTAACGGCGTGTGTACTATTAGAACAACAACATATTTTACAAAATTATGTTCTAAAATTGGAAACAATTTTTAAAAACCCAAACCAATATTAACTTGTACCACTGGTAGAAGTCTGTTTTTTTATTTCTCAAAGAACGGACCAGTATTATTGAGGCGGCCATCTTGAACCGCCATGTCTGTTCGTTAAATATTCACCAAAACACCGGTAAAGTTATTAGGAAAAAGGCAAAGTTAACGCTCCCGTTGGGGCGATAGCTGCACAGCAACAATGTGAAAGAAAATTATATTATATATGATGTAATCTTTAGATGATATGGTTCGTTTAGGTTATTTGTCAGCACAAAAACAGGCATCCTGTTTTCAATTCAACCATTTATTGAAGTGAGCCTCTGGTGGCCATTGGTGGAACTGCATTAAATTAACTTTAAACTTTAAAAGTGTTTAATGTAAACGCTGATGATTTTTTTTATTTTTTAACATTTTAACTACATTTGTTATTTGATTTTTTTATGATTATTGTGTTAGCAGAATACATATAGAGAAATATATTATTTATTGGGAATCATAGCTGCTCATATTTCAACACTAAAGTTGTTTTGCATTGTTATTATTATTATATTGAGGTCTAAACTGTTTTATTTCTTAATGAGGGATCAAATGTTTTTGTTCTGTAATTTTTTTTAAAAAGTTATTTTTTAAATATGTATCTTTTTTTAACACCTTGTTACGATGCTTCTTGCATGAGAAGCCTTGCCGTCAGATAGCTGAGGTAAAGCCCTTCTCTCCCACCGTGGGTGATGGGTGTTTGTTGTTGATGCTGGTGAAGTTGTTGCCTGTGCCTGGACAGGCTTTTTTTTGTCTTAGGACCAAATCAATACGAGTGACGACGTCTACAGCAGTAATCCTCAGATCCAGTCCTCAGGGTCCACAGGATCTTTTCTCTGCACCGAGTTGAAATTCACGTACGGTCCTGGTCTAGAACTGTCTGATTAGGGAACCTGGAATGGAAAGTGCCTGGTAGAATAAAACATGAGCAGAGTCCCGGTCCCTGGAGCGTGGATCTCGGCACCACAGGTGAACTGGCTTCAAATACTCTGAAATAAAGAGACCATTTATTTTCCATTGTGAGCAGAAGTGCTCGGCTCCGTCAGGGCGAAGTGTTGCTGCTGTATCACCAACCCTGAGGCCACCTGTGATTGTGTGCACGGTGGCATCGTTACACACCTTCCACCGCTGACACCACTCCTGCTGCTCTGTGAAGGCTGTGGGTTTTTAGGTTTAAATGAAACAGGAAACTGGTCGTGTCATTGTCTGTCTCCCTGAAACACACACATTCATTTTAAATGTTCATACTGGGACATTGACGCTTTCAGTTTCATGCTAATGGTCTCTGCTGAAGCACAGTGTGTAAAACATGTGCAAGAAATATTGTACCTGGAAGTAAAAATCAATAGTTGACAGTATTTCTACGGTATAGTTAAACATTTTGATAAAACTAAAATATAAATATATTAAAGTGGCCAACAAAGGTTTCACCTATTTACCTACCCCGGTCTACATCCAAACTAAAGAAGTTTTGTTAAAAATTGAAAAAAAAAAATGAAGATCTGAGATGTCATGGATTTTTTTTTTTGGCCAGTATTTACATTTTTTTATTGAAATTTGAACTATATTTTAGGTCAGGTGTAAACATGACCCCAGAAGTATAGCTATACCAGTAACACACACACACACACACTAGTTGACTATGTTCCAAATTTGTTAAAACCAAATCGACTGAATGTTTTTTTTTCTCTAGAAACTAATTTTGTGTTATATTATGACCAGACATAAATATGTTTGTTTTTTTAAGTCACTGAGGAAAGAAAACATGTGGCCCAGGCGGTCACTGCAGATGTTCTTCTCTGTGGATGGAGACCACTCTGTGTCTCAGACCTTTTCATAGAAACCCCCTCTCTGACCAGTGTAAGAGGACGATGCCCCGATCTGCCCCTCCATCTGCCCTGCTTCTCACTTCACTGAGCTTTTTTTAATTGCCTGCAGTTGAGCCACGTTGGCCACTTGTTGCCACATCTGGACACGGCACTGATGAAGAAATCAGGACCAGTTGAGCCACGTTGTTGTGAAGAGCTTGTGAATAAATGTTAACAACATATCACGGAGGAGAGACAGAGATTTGTCGATTTTATAATTTCTCACTCACTTTAAGAAAGGTTTTTTTTTTTTTTAAAGGATTGGTGAATGAATGTTAAAGTTGATGATTAACTCGATGACATTTCCAGTCTGAGTCATGTCCAGTAACAGATTTATTTCCTTGTCTCTCCGGCGTCTCAGATCCTTCAGCTGCGAATGAACAAATACAGCCGTCAACACCAACAACACACTCTGTTTTATGATCCTTGTTTTTTTTTTTTTTCCCTCTTCCCAGTGAAACGCCTGATCCTGACACACAGCTGTGTGTGGATTTGTGTTTTACCTGCTAAATCTCCAAATGACTCACAAGCTTTCCCTCATTTCGGCCGACGGGCGCAGCGGGCAGCGAGTGGACGATACGCTCGGCCACGCTAACAATGCGGC